TGATAAATTTAGCTTTTATCTATTGGCCCTAGCTAATTGTTGGATATAAATCGAAAATGCCGCCAAAAATTAGATGGAAATATTGATGAACTTTGGCAATTGTTTGCTGTTTGCCGCTGGCAATAGAAAATCTAGGGGGGGGGGGGGGGGGTAAGGATTTGGGTTGGTTTGTCCAGAGAGAGAGTAACTAGATCTGAAGGCCGTCGCTTTCATTTTGGTCGAATTTGTGTGGCTTTTAGTTCGTGGCAAGGCAATTAAACGGATTTTTATGAGCTTTCTAAAAATGTTTTCAACATCTTTTCAAATATTGTTAAGGGAGGGGCAGGGGGAGGGGGGGGGGGGGGTATATATATAATCAATATATATGTTTTTGCTGATTGCTGTTAGTCACGCGTTTTGTTGTGTTTTTTTTTTGGCCAACTCCCACGCAATAAATGGCCAACAATCAGATGACAAACTGCGGCCAATTATTATGCATAACAAATTGCAAATTATGCGCAATATTTGTGAATCATTTTGTATCACATTTCTGTGTGTGTGCGTGTGTGTGTGTGCGTGTGTGTGTGAATATTTACAATCAATTCATCACAAATAGAAACTTTATATTTTATTAATAGACTTCTTTTGTTTGTTAGCTAGTCAAATTGGGCTTAAGTCTGGCTAACGAAAACTAATTAATAACAGTTAAGTTTAGTTAAGTTCAGTTAAGTTTAGTTAAGTTTATTAAATTCATTGAATCAACTTTGCCACAGGTAAATTGTATTAAGCCCCACGACGCATTAACTTTTTGGCCAGGTGAGGCAAAATACACACGTTAAATAATTGCACATACGCCATGTTGTACGTACTTAGCTCTCGTTTAGCTCGAGATTTTGCTTTTGGCCACACAACATTTTTTTGGCCTTTCGAGGTTTTGTTTATTTAAGCGCAATGCTAAAAATTTTATGTGTGTATTGTGCTTGTTCGTTTCTATTTTTGATCCCATAGCCAGGGGTAAAACTTTATGCCGAAACTAATTCGCATATGCGCCGGGAAGTTCGCCGTTGTTTTTTTTTTTCATTCGAAAAGCGTTGCACAGAAAGAAGAACACGTTTCGTTTGGAATATCGGACATTGTTTTCACCTGCGCGCGAAAAGCAATTCGAAATTTTACCTTCGCTTCTTTTTTTTGTTTATTTCTTTTTGATACGCACGAGCCAGCTAAATGAAATAATACATAAATTCAAACAAGAGGCGCTCGCAATGAAAGGGAGGGAATGAAAGAAACCGAGAAAATTGAACGCTAAGAGAAATGAAAAAGTAATAAAGGCAACAAGAACTACACACAAAGGTCCTGGGTCTTGTCTTCATGATGGGATTTTCACGTGCAACAAGAAGAAAATGTTGAGCAAGAAGCAGCAAAGGCAACACAGCACAAAAACCCTTGTCAATGGCAAAGCCCGTAATACACACACACACACGCACACAGCAGTAAGGCTACCCCCCCCCCCCCCCCGCCGCTCGCTCCGCAGCTGTCAATAAAAATGCCTTTGAGCTGCGGCATACACACAAAAAAAACACATTTTCATGACTTATTACAAGACCCCAATAAACCCCTCCACTTAATTAAAGGACATAAGAAATATGTTTAAAAAATATATATATGCTCTCTCTCCCTCTCTCTCTCCCTCTCTTGCTTGCTACTTTTTTAGCTTCTTCATTATGAAAAAGAGAAGAGAAAAAAAAGCATACAAAGCTCTTTATGTGCCTTACATATGCTGCACGCTTAATTACCGGTCGAGCCTAAATGAAAGCTGGCCAGCGAGCACGGTAACTGTTAAGCTCCAATAGTGTATTACATTCATCTCGTCCGGGTTCTGTGCCGGGTGCGCAACACAATCAATAAAACGCCCCACAGCCGATGGCCAAATGGAATAAGACACGCTGGGGCTCGTGTAGGAAACGTGCGGACATGCAAGGAATCTGGCTGACGGGCACAACTGAATGGGAATAAAACCGTTAGCAGCAATGGGCGAGCAAATCGGAAAGACAGAGCGAGAGAGAGCGAGAGAGAGAGTAGATAAGTGGAAGCCGTAGCTTGCCGCAGGCTTTTGAATTGTATATGCTACGCTAGTATTTGCTCTGTCCCACTCCCACTCCCACCTTCCACAGAGTCAATGTCAGCAGCGTTCCCATTGCCATTCCTGGCTTCTGTAAGCAAGTACGTCACCAGCTGCTGGCCGCTGCTTGGAAATGTGTGCGCGTGACTAACGTGACCGCTGCCGCCCCCCCCCCCTCGCTAATGTTGATAGATGATGGAGTTTGATGGATGTGTGTGTGTGTGTGTGAGCGAGATATAGATGGATGTCTGTCACATAAAACAAAAAACAAAAGAAAAGCTCTTATAACAAGTGCAACTATTTACTTAAGGTAAAATAAAAGCAGTATAAGTGCACGACAGCGTTGCCACTTAATGCACACACTTCAACGGCAATTGTCAACGTTGCCAGCGGGCTAGCGTAGCGCTAAAATAAATTTATGTGTTTATCAAGCAATGCCACCCTTGGGGGAGTTATTGATAAGCGCGCAAAATATTTAATCGCGCCAAGAAACTAATGGAAATCAACAATAACAACAAGAACAAGAACAAGCACTCACCTGACTTTGACGCTGCTGCTAGACCACAAAACGACGTTTGTCTCTCTCTCTCTCTCTCTCGCACGCTCTCTCTCTCTCTCTCTCTCTCCCTCTCTCTGTGCTGTGCTCTCGCGCTCACTTGCTGTCTCCACTCACTGACTTTTTACTTCTTATGATTACTGTTGTTGTTGCTGCTGCTCCTATTGGCTAAAACCAAATTTAATTTGTTACTTTTGGGTTGGCTTGTTTGGGTTTATCGGAGGGCGCAAAGCATAGGCGAGGGGAAGGGCGAGGGCGAGGGCGAGGGCGCAGTCGAAGATGAAGGCAAATCAAAGCTTCAACTTTTGCTGCTTTTGCTGCTGCTGCTGCTGTCGTGCGTTTATTTAATGTATCTTTGATGTTTCAACAATATATTTTATTTGATTTGATAGAAAATGAGAAAATGCTTCGTTAACACAGTCTCAACACACATATTTGTATATATGAATGCCTTTCAAATTAAAAATAAAACGGTTTGGATTTAACCGTTATCATGTCGCAGGTCCAATAGGTGCAACGATTCCAATAAGATTTACTGATTTGTATTTGTTTATGCCAATACGAGCCGCAAAGTTGTTAAACTCGTAAAAACAATAACAAGTTGAACAATTTGCTGTGTGTTAAGGTATTCTTTGTTCACACACGCATTCCGTTTTTTTGGCAATGTAATTGTTTAATTAATTGTGTGTGTGTGTGTGTGTCTGTGAATTATTTGCGCTTAAATAAACATTGAATATTTTCTGCGTGTGTGCACAGCAATTTGTTAAGTCTGTTTGTAGTGCAATATAGGTATGTGCACACACACGCACATATGTATATACCTCTCTCTGTGTATGTGTGTGTGTGTGTGTCTGTCTGTGGGGGTTTCGCACGTTTGTTTGTATTGTTTATTTGCACTTGTGCTTTGTGCTTTTTGGGCCTGTCTACCGAGTAACAGTTGCTCTCTCTCCTCTCTCTCTCTCCACACACTCGGTCCGCTTGCACAACTCCCACCACACGCACACACTAACACAGGCCCACAAAAAATTTTGAATGCGCGCGTGAATATATGTGAGTACACCTGCCGCTGCTCTGATTGGCATTTGGCTTATTAAAACTCGCCCGTTTGGCATCGATGACCGTGACCCCAATTGGGAACTGCATTACGTTAGACGATGATACTCCAACCCTCAATACACGCACTCCAATTCGATAAGCCGCTGTTCCAATCAGCGTGTCTAAGGTCAATGTGTTAACAATCTTTTAATATCAATTAAATTTGCCAAATCCAATCGTAATTAATTTATGAACAATTGCCGCAAATATTCGCTCATACGTATAGACATTAATTAAGTAATAGGCCCCCACACACACACACACACACACATGTCTAGTTATCGCAATTAGATCAACTGATTAGAGCGAGATAAAGTATTTTGCGCGGCTGGGTGGTGGGTGGTGGGGAGCACTTGTTAATTAAACATTTGAAACCGGCATTCCAAACACGCCCCCCACCCCCCCTCCTTCCGTCCTTCCCGCTTAGCCGCATTTCTGACCACGAACCGCCCAACGGCCCCCCTGCAGCCAAGTCTAACGCGTTTATTGATTGTCCCCCCAACCCCAACCCCCGCACACAAAGTGAGGCAGGCTAACGAGGAGAAGCCCCAACAGGCGTCCCCAAAAACCTTGCCAACAACGACGACGACGACGACGACGACAGCAACAGAAACAACAACAACAACAACAACAAGCTGGCAAAAGTGATAGGTAGAATTTTTGTATGTATATTTTTTGTGGGAGCCTGCCGACTGCTGCCCACCGCCCGCCCCATTCACTCCTCGTGCATATCGCGCCCTCGTTTTTTATTACGCGCACATTTTACATACACTTGCACAATCGAAATTTCTAATGTGAATTGTTGTAACGGGGCAAAAGGTTTACGACTGGCTTATTTCTATAATTTTTTTTTTGTTTTTTTTTTGCTTGTTTTGTCAGCACTCAGCTGTTTTCATTAATTTTTGTTGTTGTATGTAATTACTTTTTTGATTTTTAAACGCACGCAGTACGCATAATCCGATATCCGACAGAATATATCTACCACTGGCGACGGCACACGTTACTATAATACTGAAACTCGGATTCTTATTGGGCTGACTCGATACGTTTGTCAGCCGGTGGTATCGTTTGCGCAGCGTTGCCACCTCGCCAACAGAAAATTGAGCAACACGCGTGACGTCACAATAGGACGGAACTATTTTTGTTTAGGTGGCAACGTTACTGCCTAGTTCAATCGAACAAGTTCGGTATCGCATACTCGAAATTAGAACATTATTTAAAGTTTTTAGTTGCATTTTCATATACAAATTTCTTAATATTCAGAGCATAGTAACTGTTGCTTTAAAATTTTTGTCTTTATTTGATTGTTAAAAATATTTCAAATTATTGTCAGCCGCCCCATCATATCGATATATTATCAACATCGCAACCCAAATTTGCACATCACTCTTCACCACAACCATTCTTGGGATGAGCCGTCGGTTCGGATAAAAATATTTATTTATTTCGTACGCAAATCCTATTCCCTGTTATTCGTGCACTTGCATTGAATGTGGCTTTGTGCAAGCAGGCGATGGCTTTATAAAACCATAGGCATTTTCAGAACATGGCTTCAAGCTAGTTTCAATCACTTTCACTTACACCAGCTGAAACGTCGCGGCTGAAAAAAAGCAAAAGTGTCTTGTGTATACAAAATAGGAAAGAAAAGACCAATGAGTGTTCGCCTCAATTAACTGGCTGTGATTCACCGAAAAAAAAATTGAACTACCTAAACGACCTCCCAATCTGGCAGCACCTTTCCAGCCTATTTAACGGAGGCTGCACTTGGAGCTGGTTCGTGTGGTCATTTCAACAGCGGCAGCACGCACACACAGCACACACTTTAACTAACCCGCACCCGCATCCACAAACACATTCAAACATAGACACACACACAGTGCTCGGCTGTATACGCGTATAGCATGGGCAACGAGGACAATCGACGAAGGAAGACTCCTTGCGGCTGCTGCATGTCTGTTTTCAAGTGGATACCCGTTCTCTTCATCTTCGCCGTAATTGGCTGGTCCTACTACGCCTATGTGGTGGAGCTATGTGTCCGTGAGTAGCCCAAATACCGCCTCAAAAGCGTAATATAAACTATACTCCCTCCCTCTCTCTCTCTCTCTCTGTCGCCGATCGCAGTGAAAACGGAGAATCGTGTCGCAATGGCATTCATGCTGCTCTTCTATCATATTGCACTCTTATTGTTTCTATGGTCGTACTGGCAAACAATCAGCACATCGGTGGGCCGCGTGCCGGATCAGGTAAGTCCAGCCCCACACACACACACACACACGCGCATGCACTCGAATGATTCACACGCTGATAAGCGCACATAAAACAGCCTAAATATGCGATAATTGAGCGCAAACAATTTCTAGTCTCATATCGCAATATTTCCTTGATGTAAACTACAACGAAAAATTAATGTGAAAAATCTGAAATTTCAGTGGCGCATACCGGATGAGGAGGTGAATCAGCTATTCCGCGCGGATAATCAGGAGACACAAAAGCGTATTTTAAACAATTTTGCGCGCAATTTGCCGGTCACAAATCGGTGAGTCTGCAAATTCAAAGAAAGGGTAGCTTCGGTCTCCAGATACCCTACAGAATTGATATATATTTATGATTAAACATGATTCATTTACTTACAATTACATCTGACATCTTTCATCCGCACAGCACAATCAACGGCTCTGTGCGCTTCTGTGAGAAATGCAAAATCGTGAAGCCGGATCGATCGCATCATTGCAGCGTCTGCAGCTGCTGTGTGCTGAAAATGGATCATCATTGTCCCTGGGTGAACAATTGCGTTAACTTTTCCAATTACAAGTTTTTTGTACTGTTCTTGGGCTATGCACTGATCTACTGTCTGTACGTTGCCTTAACCACGCTGCATGATTTCATACAGTTCGTCAAGGTAAGTCGATCTCCAAGCTAAAAATCCACCCACCCAACGCACAGGAGATCCGCAAGCATGCATATTATATTATATATTATTTTGTTGGATGTAGTGCATCGCATTTGCTTGTTGCGCTTTGTAATTATTGTGTCTGTGAATATATTTATATATATATCCATATGCGTATACATAACTCTTTATACATATATTATTGTACTTAATGTAATATTAAAGAATGAAAATGGTCTTGGTGTCTTGGAACAGGGCCAGCCAACCGGCAACGGCATGGGACGCTTTCACATACTCTTTCTGTTCTTCATATCGATCATGTTTGCCATTAGTTTGGTGAGCCTGTTCGGCTATCACATCTACCTGGTGCTCGTCAATCGCACCACATTGGGTAAGCGAGATACACTTACTCTGTATACTGTACCTATAAAGAGTTAACTATTGCTTTCCTTCTGCTACAGAGGCATTTCGCGCGCCCATCTTTCGTGTCGGCGGACCGGACAAGAATGGCTATAATCTGGGCCGTTATGCCAACTTCTGCGAGGTCTTTGGCGACAAGTGGGAGCTATGGTTCCTGCCCGTGTTCACCAGGTATGTCCCTTAGACATTTCTATATACCTATATCATTTCACGTGTTTCATTGCATTTCGTTTTACTAATCTGTGCTGCACTCTCTCAACACACAATTCCAAATCGATCTCTGCACTCTTTAATTGTTGTTTTTGTGTGTGTGTTTGTGTGTTTGTGTATTTTATTTACTTATTATTATTTATTGCTTATTGCAAATAATTTATTCACACACTTGGCAAACTTTGAGGCATGTTGCAGACCGCTTTTTTAGTAGGAGCACCTAACAATTTACACAAATTGACTACAAATACATTTTTCATAGTTTTCTGTAATAGTTTAAGTCGCGATAATAACTTGTAAATCTGAAAAAATAGGCAAAACGTGTAAAACTCTCTTTGATTTCCCTAATACACAATTTAGACTTAAGCAATAACCAAAAACGTTACTAAAATTGGCCAATTTAGTTTTAAATGGATATCCGTTTGTGATAATATTTAGTTATAATTTGTTTATCATTTCTGTAACTAAGAACATCTAGCTACGACAGTTGTGTTAAGATTCAATGCAGGACTCTAACTAATTACTTCAAAAGCTGCTGCTAACTAATGCTTACTAAAATGAAAACCACACCAACACCTGACTCTCCAGATATATGTGTTTTTATCTCAACTAAACTGTATAAAGCGCAAACATCTAACAGCAAAAAAAACTAAAAAAAAACTGAAAATATTGCAACTACCCCACAAAAACAACAATAAAATCACGTTTTCTGTTTCAATCTATGTTAACAATTACAAAACTTTTGCTTATTCACCAAAAACAATCGGAAAACCAAACCAAAACCGAAACCAACGATTAGTAAGGGCGACGGATTGAGCTACAAAACGTCGAGCGATCAGACGGGCGGCCCTGGCCGTGGCTATGAGGCCATGGGCAATACGACAGCGAATGCGGCCAGCAACAGGTTAGATGTCCAACCCACAGATAAGTTGATTGACGCTATTCCACTCAATAATCATCAACCTCATCTGGAGCTAGACAACGGTCAATCATCTAGCCACAATCATCCACTAATACCGCCTAGTCAAGTCGTTGTCAATATTGAACAAACAGCAGCGGGTGCAGCGGGTGCATCGACGGCGGCTGCCACCAACCATGTCATCGATATGATCGGTGACCAGGTAATGACCGTACCGGCGCCACCTGCCAAGGATCTGAATGTGCTCAATGGCGGACCACCTGCGATACCTGCTGATAATGTTGTGTAAAAATATGCATTCAATTCAGTTCAATACCAATCATGTTCGATTTTTGAATACTGATAGCTGCCAGAGCTTTGTAAATGTGTGTGTGCGTGTGTGTGTGTGTGTGCGTGTGTGTATGTATTTAATATACTCGTAAGTCTAATGAATGGATATAGTGTGAGATAATCGTAATTGTAAAATGTATAACAGCTGTTTTTACCTGTAGCTCTGCTTGCCCAGTTCCCCACTGACTGCTGAATGCAAGAATACAAATGTGTTATCTATACAAATATCAATTTGAATGAGACTATCATAAATATACATATATATTTCATTAGGAGTATGGATAAAAAGCAAACACTAAATGTAAGCTAATTGTTTGTTGTACACTCAAATTGTAAGCAATGGCCAGTTATACTAGATTATATATCGACATTAACTGACGGAGCCCGTTTTTGGCAATATTAAGCAATATCATTAGCATTAATGTTGTTAAATTGTTGAAGCAACAGTTAAATATTGGTCAATTAGCATTTAAACACACAGCTCGTGTCCCATTGTTTTAACGGTCATGAGACTTTAATACCAAAACACAAAAGAACATAATGTTTAGTTAGGATCATATCCGTATACATACCCGAACACAGCCCATAATAATACACGAAACGAATGAATTTTGATGTCGATCGCATTTTGATGCTTTTATTATTCTAAATAACGTAGTTAGTTTGGTTTAAAGTTTATTGCAAGTTTCTTTCTGCCTTTCTTCCTTCTCTTTTTTATATTTTAGCTAGTTTACTAGTTTTTAATTTTTGATACGACAATTTTTGTATTCAGGTAAAAAACTATTGACAAATATATTATATAAAAGTACATGTATGTGCATACGAAAATACGCACAGATTTGTTTTTCATTTGCCCTCCTCAACTTGGTCCATCTCGCAAAAAGTTTGCTGCTTCTCCTTCTATTGCACTGCATCAGCCTCCTTTCACACACACAAATTCACACAGAACACCTTTATATTCATGCAAAATTAATTAAATTTAATTCGCAAGAATTCTCAATTTGATTTGTATTTGTATTGCATTTTGAAATTTCCGTAAAAATTGTTCAGCTTTGGCGATGGCATTAGCTATCCCATACGACATCTTGAGGAGGATACCGAATCGCTGCTGGGCTATCATAGCGATACGCGCATCGAGCTGGAGGAGGACTTTCTGCCAGAGGCGCGTTTTCAGGACTCAATCATTCCATAGCTAATCATGACTGGCGATAATGTGGCCACGTATTACATATAGAGTTTTAATCGTGTAGCAATCGTTGCATTTAAATAATGCAGCCTTTGGCCACACGCGTCTAGTCTATAGGGTATATATATATTTTGTACTAGTTTGTATATTAAGTTTAATGAGAAGCATTATTGTTAAATTGTTATCAAATTCTTTGTGTCTTATGCTTGACAGTGCAAGTGACTGAATAATGCCTATATAGTTGCTTCTCAGCATTAATCGAACGCTGCCACACACATCCCGACACAAATTCGCGTGCATTGTATAAAAACTAATATCGAAAACAATATTTCATAAATTTGTTTGTATAGTTTAATAAGTGCTAAATGTTACGAACAAAATATGCGGGTAGATACAAAGCTCTATAATTCGCTACTAATATATAGTACAATATACAGTTACAGTCCATAGCAGAGCATTGCCATGTCATCTACATATAGTACATATATATATATGTTAAGAGTGGAGCAGTACAATATAGTAAAAACAAATTGTAAAAGCAAGAACTAACTAAAATGGACAGCATCTCAATCGAATCGACTTAAATCCTCGTCACTGGCTGCGCTCGGAGCGACAACTGCGGCAGGCACTGTTGCAGGCACCACCTCGAAATCGGTCTCTGTGGCAGCAGCAGCTTCTGCTGCACGATCATTAAACGGATTTGGATGCATTGGAGCTACAGTTGGTTTCGGTATTGGTGCTGTTATTGGCTGTATATCGTTTGCTGCAGGCGGCGCCTCTTCTTCATGTTTTCTCTTCTTTTTCCTGCTCACAAGCACTTCGCGTGTCATCGGGAAGCCTGTCTGTTCGCTGCGCGGCAGCAGCTCACTCAGATCGCTCTCCACATCCGCATGCTGTGGCTGCAGTTTCTCCTGCAGGGCAGCCAACGCTATGAGCAGCGCCTCCTCGGTGCGTATGGTCCGTGAGCCCTGTTTGGGCAGCACATTTACATAGTGATCGAAGAGCAGCTCTGGCTCGTCCACTGTTAGTTTCTCGTCGTTGGCCAGCGCCTCTTCGAGACCCTGCAGGCCGCCAAATACAATGAGTATGTGATTGTACTGAATGGATTTGCTGGGCACATCGTGCACGCTGGCGCCGCGATCAGAAGTACCGATCGTCACATCGTAGCCGCCTGCATAGGGCGATTTCGTAAAGATTTCGGAGAGCGAATGTGCAATGCGCACCTGATAGCCCCAATAGACGCCCGTCTCCCGACGCGGCTCGTCCGGACTGACCAATGTGCCGCGTTGTTTTCGACTGGTCTCTAAATGGAAAGCAGCCGTGTTCATTTAATCGCATTCAATTTTGTTGGAAATTAGGACACCTACCGTTGGGTGGGTCCATTTTGACTGTCACCCGGACGCCTGGATCTAAGGCCTTGTCGATGAGCACATCGTTCAGCAGGCCCACATTTGCATAGCTGTGACCATCCTTGGCTTGTTTGTCGCAGACGACGCCCTCGCGATAGCGAAACTTGCTTTGCTGGCGCAGATGATGCGGCGTGTCCAGTGGATTAAGCAGGCCCGAGTACTTCAAGTCTTTGTGCAGCGGAAAGAAGTATTTGCGCAGATATTGTGGACACTCAAGATATTGTAGGATGCGCGCCAATTGCAACGAACTGCTACGGACTGTGGCTGTAGCTGTGCCATTGCCCTCCGCATCCTGTTCGTAGCTGCGTTTTGTTTCACGTGCCGTTGCCACGCCCACATCGTCAAACACAATCACCTCATTGACACGGAATATGCAGGCAGCGCGCGCTATTTGGCCGGCAACATAGGCGCGCAGCTCGGCGGACTGTGCATTTTCCAGTATGGAGCCCGGCACAGCTATGCTCACTGTGGATGGATTTGGCTTAGCCTTAGCTGCTTTTGTTGCATCTGTGGCCACCTTGGCAGCAGCTTCTGCTTCCTGGACTCTCTGTAGGTCCTTGAGCGCTTTGTCCTGTTTTCGCTGACGTTTGAGTGCTTTTCGCTCCTCGTTGATCTTTTTCCATGATTTGTGCGGCTCTGCGGGATTGGTATTTCGACTGTTGGCTGTTGCCGCGGACATCGTGGCAGATTTATGTTAATAAATATCTCAACCAATTGCCAATAACATTAAAAGCGATTCTAGCACGTGTGAACTAAATACGTTCCGGAACTGGAACTAGTAGCGTGAAAAGAAGCTCGTGAGTGTAGCGATGAATTTGATCTGCTGATATGCGTTACAAAAAGCCGGCTTGTTGGAATTTGACACTAATTTTTTATATACACTTTGTAATACACTAAAAATTATTGCAGGTTCTTCTCAAACCCAACCAATTTAAATGTAAATAAAGCAATCAGCAAACGACACAAACAATTACAGGCTCTAGTCAAACCCAACCCATTTAAATGTAAATAAAGCAAACTGCAAATGACTCAAACAATTACTCAACAGAGACGACAGCACGATAGTTATCGAAAGGAAGCTCATCACTGACATAAGCAAGACAAAAAAGTTCCATTTTTGTGTTTTCCCCGAATAAGTGTTTAAACGAGACAATTGACAATTTTTAAAATATTTTGTTGCAAAGATGAGTCGAAATGTCTTAGCACCGCCCACTCAACGAATGAGTCACAATCGTAACTATCGCGTTAACATTGTTCACGACGATTTTGGTGGCAGCAAGTGGAACTCGGCCAATGAGAAAACTGCCAAAGGTTACGAAGAGCCCGGTAAATATAAAAGCAAAAGTTTTTCCTGTTTGCCAACAAATTGTGAAATCCATTTTTAGATCTATACGCCGATGATGATTACGAGGAAGATAGCGCCGAATGTAACATTGAGGAGCTGCCCAATGGCAGCTTCAAACTGGCGCTGCATGTGCCCAAGTAAGTGTCCAAATGGAAGCTGAGCTTAATGTGATTCAATCAAACTGTTTGGTCCTGCAGGTCCTTCTATGGTGGCCTGATTGGCTTCAAGGGCTCCACGAAGCGTCGCATTGAATCTGAAACTCAGACGGAGATTTACGTGCCTCGTCAAAATGAGACGTCTAGTGATTTACTTATCCAGTCCAGCGAACGCAGCAATGTGTGTGCTGCTCTTCGCAAAATACGTCTACTCATTGATTCCCTGCGAAAGCGCATGAGGCCAACTCATTTTCTGGCTGTTCCCTTAAATAAGGGCGAAGTGCAGAAGCATTTCATCGAGCTAAAGGTAATTATAGGTTTAATCTTATATTAAATCGCCTAACACTGTTCCACAGCAAAGCATTTTGGATGCACAGCTGCCAGGCATCGATCAGGAGCTATTCATATCGGAGCGCTGCATCCATCTCACCTTGGGCGTCTATGTGCTCCTGGATGACGCTGAACGCAAAGATGCCGTCAATGTGCTGCAATCGTGTCGGCAATGGCTGGTCGATTTCAAAACACCCTTCGAGATAAAAGTAAAAGGCCTGGAAATTATGAACGATGATCCCAGCTCGGCCAGAGTGCTATACGCTTCTGTGGAGGCCCCAGAGCTGCAGGAGTTTGCTGACAAATGCCTGAAGCATTTCCAAACCACCGGACTTTGTGCAACCGACAACAACGAACGCGATAGCATTAAGCTTCACATGACGGTACTGAACTGTCGTTATCGCAGGGAGAACAAGAACAAGAATGATCGCGACTCTTTCGATGCACGTGAGATCCTTAAACGTTTTGGAGACTATGACTTTGGCACGACTCAGTGCAATGAAGTGCATATGTGTGTGCTCAATTCGTCTAAGGAGGTCGATGAATTCTATAAGACCACGGGCAGCCTGAAATTCTAGGCATCGTAATTTGCATTTGTATTTGATTAATCATCAATTGTCATATGGCGAGCTCGCCGGATACAAGTGTTTATCAATTCCAGAAAATTCTTATCTTATCTTATAATCAGTTGTTGCAAACCACAAATATACTGTACACTCTACCAACTGAACTGAACCATCCTACTTCTTCGAAATGCTGCACAACAATAATATAATAACTTTTAAAAAGCTCATAAATGCAAAGTAGCAATTATTGATAAGCCAGTGCATTGAATATGCAATATAAGACCCAGTCGATGGGGATTGTTAGTCAGTAGCATTTTGTGCACCAGCTCGCAATGAACATAATCCGTGCCTTTGCTCTCGCTCTTTGTGTGGCGTCAGCATTTCCGCCTTCAATAGCCGATGATACGTGTTAGTATATGTATATATGTATATATATTTCTATATATATATTCACTCTTAAACATCACTATAACATAATGTGTTCTGAAGATGCAAGTTGTACGAGATCCGATGGACTTTCTGGACATTGTAAGCCATATAGAAATTGTCCCAAGATTTTAGAAATTACACAGCACAAACCACTTTCGACTGTTGAACTAAACTACTTAATGAATTCAAAATGTCCCCCTAAAAGGGTTTGTATAAATATCGATTGCGAATTTTAAAAGCCCAAAATTACGAATTTCCTCCATCCCATAGGGTTATGTCTGCTGCGAAGAAGAGGAGAGTGCGGGTATGGCACTATTGAAGGAACAGGATTGTGGATACTTTGGTGGAATATTAAAGACAATCGGCGGAACCGAAGTTAAATTAATGTCAAGACCTTGGATGGCTCTACTTAAGTTTGAAGATAACGAAGCTGAAGAATTTAAATGTGGTGGCACTCTAATAACAAAACGTAAGAAACTGTCTATTATAATATATAATATGATCTTTAAATTAATCCAATTCATAGGCTTTGTACTAACTGCCGCGCATTGTTTCAATCGTCAAGAATTGTAAGTAGTTCCTGATTATCTTGCAAGCATTTCTTACCAAAAGTATGCCATAGATTATTTGTGCGTTTGGGGGAACACAAAATATCCAGTGCAACAGACTGCGCTTGGGTAAAATCAAGATATATATGCGCGCCCCCAGTTGAGGATATATCGTTTGAAAGGATCATTGTGCACGAGGATTACTCGCAACAATCTAAACACAACGACATAGCATTGGTAAAGCTATCAAGGGACGTAGAGTTCAAACGTATGTTTTTTATTTAACAAGCTCAAGTTCTTCAATTTCTTAATCGATTTATATGCCACAGAACATATTAGGCCTATCTGCTTGCCTGTGAATGCAACACTCCAACAACAACCAGAAGAAATGGAAGAGTTCCAAGTAACTGGTTGGGGCAAAACTGAAAATGGATTCATGTCCGATAATATCATGGAGAGCAAAATCCTTAACAAGCCTCGCGAAAACTGCCTTTTCTTTCAAAGGGATATAAGAAAATCCCAACTGTGCGCTGGTAACCTAGGTAAGGACTCCTGCAATGGCGATTCTGGTGGTCCTTTATTATATTTGAGCGAATATAACGAGAACCAAAGGTACGTGCAGTTCGGTATAGTTAGCTACGGTTCGCCTAGTTGTGGTAATGGGTATCCTGCGGTGTATACAAATGTTGGCAGCTATATGCGCTGGATAGCCGATAAAATAATCGCCAATTAGTTGACGGTTTTATGTGGATATCGAATATATAAATATGGAAATAAATATATTAATATATACAAGCCTATATCGAACGCTGCGCATTGCATTCCTTAAAGCTGAACGTTGTCTTGGCTTCATTCTTAGAGGCAGCATCCAAGTTGGATTTTATGGCTGGCTCTACTTTTCTTAATATACATATTTATACCAGCCAGCTGATGCGTCGCGTGTCTGGTCTTATCGGATGGGGCGCAACGGCTGTATATTTATAGCTACATATCAAGTGGCAGATATGGAGTCGCAGCGGAAGTGAACAAGCGTTTGATCTGCTTGCGCTATATTGAGCCCCATGTACGTATATCGGGTTCAATGCACTTCCCGAGGACCGAGGACTAAACGCGTAACGTCATGTGGATGAATATTCTCTGACTGAAACCAACTTTTATTTGCTATAGAGCATCGATGTGAAGTGAAAATATAGCCCATCTTTGTTGATATGTTGATCTATATGAAAATTAATAAATCGGTGTTCCGGACAGTTTGTCGTGAGATTCTGCTATCGGAAGAGAGTAGAAAGCTTAGGCCGGAACCTATCTCAATGCGCAGCTCTCCCTGAGCATTTGAGCAACCACTCGCAATGAACATAATCCGTGCCTTTGCTCTCGCCCTTTGTGCGGCGTCAGCTTTTCTGCCTTCAATAGCTGATGACAAGTGTAAGTATATATATATATATATATATATATATATATATATATAGTATATATATATATATATATATATATGTATATATATATACATATCGCATAAAATAATTTTTTCTGAAGATGATAGTTGTACGAGATCCGATGGACTTTCTGGACATTGTAAGCATATTAGAAATTGTCCCAAGATTTTAGAAATTAGCCGCCAAAGACCGCTTACGACTGTTCAAATAGACAACTTAAAGAATTCAAAATGTCCCATACCTAAAAAGGTTTGTATAAGTATTGATTGCGAATTTGAAAATCCCAAAATTACGAATTTCCTCCATCCCATAGGGTTATGCTTGCTGCGAAGAAGAGGAAAAAATGGAAGAGTTCCAAGTAACTGGTTGGGGCGAAACTGAAAATAAATCGGTGTCTGATAATATCATGGAGAGCAAAATCCCTAGGATCCCTCGCGAAGGCTGCACAAGGTACTTTACCAAGGTTATTACAGAATCCCAACTGTGCGCTGGTAACCTTGGTAATAATTCCTGCAATGGCGATTCTAGTGGTCCTTTATTGTATTTGAGCGAATATAACGAGAAGCAAAGTTTCGTGCAGTTCGGTATTGTTAGTTACGGTTCGCCTAGTTGTGGTAATGGGTATCCTGCGGTGTATACAAATGTTGCCAGCTATATGCGCTGGATAGCCGATAAAATAATCGCCAATTAGTTGACGGTTTTATGTGGATATCGAATATATAAATATGCAAATAAATATATAAACGCCTATATCGAAATTGTTTCCTGTAACTGAGCCAAACGCTGCGCATTCGTCAATTTCCAAGTGACACAGGACAAAGATGTGATGAAGAAGCCAATGCCTGAAATTGGGGATTTCTCAGTGTAAATCTGCTCCAGTCGAGAAGCTCTACTTACCCATTAGAAGAATGGCCTCGGATGTTTCATCCTGCCACGCCTTGGATACTACACAGAGCAGTATAAACCCGCTGAGCAGGCAAAAGGAGCCAACGAGCACAGCCAAGGTGATGAGTATGGTAATCGGGTCGGGTTCGTTGAGCGTCTTATAGGGAAACAGAGCTTGGCACAGCGAAGCCTTCTTCGAGTCGCTGCTGTGCGAGCTGCAAAACAACAAACACTAGTTAAGAGATTACAGTCCAAAGAAAGGAACTCAGTTACGCACCAGGATTGTGCATAGGTTGGTAGAACGGACACGCTTCTGCACTCCATGACGCTGCACGTTGCACTGGCCCCTTTCTCAGTGCCAGCATCCAAGTTGGAGTTTTTGGCTGGCTCTTCGTTTCTAAATATACATATAGGCGGCAGCAGCCAGCTGATGCGTCGCGTGTCTGGTCGTATCGGAAGGGGCGCCACGGCTGTATATTTATAGCTACATAGGAAGTGGCAGATTTGGAGTCGCAGCGGAACTAAACAGCCCTTAGCTCTGTTGAACCTATATTTAGCCCGGTGTACTTATGTCAAGTTCAATGGACTTACCGAAAGTATGGAGCATCATGTGGAAGATCATTCTTTGACTGAGATACTAGGAAACATACTTTTGTTTGCCCTATACATATGTGATTGCTAATATCTAAAAATATTCTCGATTTCTCTTCTTATTATTTGTGATCTTGTTTGTATCTTGGTTTTTGCCATCGGCAGCTGCGAGTTGAAAGGTCAGGGCGGAACCTACCTCAATGCTCAGTTTTCTCCTTCATTCATTGTTGTTAGCTACCTGGTTGGGTTTTCTTACCTGGAATCATTTTGAGTTTTGGGCTCAGTTTGAGGCGCGCCTTTGAAGGGATATAACCAAACCAACTAGCTCCGATAATGCCGCAATTGAAGCAATTGTTGCTGGCTCCGGCGTTGCACATGTTGCAGTTGCCACAGCGCGTTCTTAGCAAAGTCTCCCATTTGTGCCATTTGCCCCATTTTCAACGGTATTTGCGGTAAGTGCTAGACGCAAGACTATTTGGCGCACAATTCACTCAGCTCTCTTTTTCTTTGCTTCAGATTTGTGGAAAGAAATCTCTGCCCCGTTTAAGAGCAATCCAAATCACAACTAATTGCAGCGTAATCAGGCGAATGACAACATTGTATTCCCCAAAAGCGAAGAATATTTTGCGCCGCAATTTCGACTTTAAGTTTTGAATTCCCCTCACGTAGTCATCCGCATGCCAAAAAATAACTTGCATGACGATTTTATATTGAGACACTGTTGAAAGATCTGCAGAGCAGCAATTGCCAGCGGAGATCAGTTTCAGAACGTTCGGGTTTTCTCCACAATTCTCTGTAATCTCGCTCTGTGGGTAAAACACACTCACACACACGCACACAAGTTCACAGCCCGCGCTTACAATAAAAGTGGTGAGTTGAGTGCTGGACGTTGTTAGTTCAATTCCTACGCTTGATTAGTGAACACAATTGTCTATATATCTCTGTGTATATAAATTAAAGTATCAACAATTAGAAAAATGACCGATTGCAAACGCAGTTATCGTTATCGCGCATTCGATTTTGTTGTGCGCGCCTTTGCGATTGCCAGCCTGTTTATCGTTATGAGCGCCATCTACCGGCAGGATGATGATCCTGGCTCCCACTACTTACATCCCAGACGAGTCATGCAGTAATGCCGCAAACTTGGTTATTCTTAAGTAGTAGTTCTCTTATGTACTTAATCAGTTATACAAATTACATTAGCATAATGTTTATTAATATATATATATATATATAATTACATATATTTGTTACAATCACAATATTCTGAACGAAACACTGATAAGGCGTTCTGGAAACAAAACCAGTTTTGATAGGAAATAAATAATGCAGGCTTGCATTTATGATTTGAATTT